GACTCACACACAGCTCCCACAATATCTGTCAGCAACTCATCCAGTACTGTACATTGTCTTGATGGCCGCCTTGATGACAATCTTTTCCTAAAAACCTGAGCTTTCTCTTGTAACAAGAGGATCTATCCATTAACACGAAGGACTACATATTTTTAACAATATGCTGATTAAAAAAAATAAATAATCAGATTTTAACTATTTGTTGTTCCAGCTGTATTAAATACTGACTGAATATGTTGTCAGAACCCTTGTTTCCTTCTTCCCCTTGGAGGACTGCAGGTGGGCATGGCTGTCAGACGTACCTGAGATCTATCTGCCCATCATTCTATTGGGGATTTAAGGAGCTGGAGTAATCTCTTCATCACCTGAAGGTCCCATACTACGGTACCACTCTAGCCAACGTTAGCCTCTAAGAGAAAGCAGTGTGGTTTCCCAATGTTACTGGTCAAGTTACTTACCTCTCGTTTCTTTGGATTGATCTCTCATAATCAAGCTCTCTTGTTGCATCCTGCACTACCTGTTCCTGTCTCTGCAGCCCCAGTTCGCTCCCCTCAGGGCTGCTCATGCTGATTTCTGCATCATCTTCCCCTTCTTCTTAATATTTTTTTAGTAGTTAAACATGTAGCCTAAATGTCACTACTCTAAAACTATACACCAGAATTTACATTTAATAGATAACTTAATTCAGAAGATGGATCATATTGTAGATCTCCTGCCATGTACATGTCCCATTATCGAGGCTCTAGCAATGTTGACAGAGCGCTCTGCTCCTCACATGAGTTATTGAAATTCATTCAATACCTTCTACAAAAAACCCTGTTGGCGATGACAGCTTCAAGATGCCACCTGTATAGAGACATTAGCTGGATGTATTTCTCAGGTGTAATTTTGGCCCATTCTTCCACACACTCTTCAAGTATTGAAGGTTTCATGGGCCTCCTCTATGAACTCTCTGGCTGGGCCATTCTCAACTTTATTTTCTTTTTACTGAAACCGCCTGAGAGTTTTATTGGCTCTGCATTTGGGGTCATGTTTTGCTGAAATGTCCAATCTCGTTTCATCTTCATCATCCTGGTTGATGGCAGCAGATTTTTATCAAAGAATGTTTCTGTTCGTTTGTCCATTCATCTTTTCTTCAATTATTTTAAGTTTGCCAGTACCATATGGTGGAAAACAGCCCCATGTCATGATGTTCCCATCTCCAAACTTCACTGTTGTTATGGTGTTTTTTTGGGGTGATGTGCAGTTTGCCAAATGACTTCCAAACATGATGTGTATTATGGCATCCAAAGAGTTCAATGTTGGTCTCATCTGATCCTGCTATATTCTGCCAATATTTCACATGTTTGTCTTAAAGCTGTGCAGCAAACTTAAACAAGCTTCAACATCTTTTTTCTTCAGCAATGGACTCTTGGGACTAAACATGCATACAGTCCATGGTGGTTGAAAGCATTACTTTTAGTTTTTTTTTTTTTTTTTTTTTTTTACAATTGTACCTGCTAGTATTCTTTGGCTCTTGGACAATTCTTCAGAAAGTTTTATTTACTCTACTGTCAGAAATCTTGCAAGGAGCACCTGATCGTGGTCGGTTTATGGTGAAATGATATTTATTCCACTTCCAGATATTGGCCCAACAGTGCTCGGTGGAACGTTAAGAGGTTTAGAAATCCTTATGTACCAAATGCCATAATCAAGGTTGCAAAGATTTTGAGAAAGCACTTTACGTTTACCCAGCACAAGATGTTTCCTGTGTTATACCACAAACACCTTTTTATAGGCTACCATTCTGTTATTTAAATCCTTACTGGTGATTGCTAAAGACCCCTACTTTCAAGTGTGAGACTTAATACCTTTATCAAGATAAAAGAAAGCACAAATAGATGTAAATAGTCAAAAGCCATTCAGCAGGGATTCATACCAATTCATTTGACAACATTATTTTTTTTTGTTTTCTAACATGACAAATATTTATGGAGAACTTCAACCTGCATGTCTGTTTTAAAAAATGTTAATTGATGTGACTGACTGATTAATCTGTCGATATTTCAATCCATGTACTTTATTTCCAATCTCAAAATAGTTTTCTAATAAATAAAAATCAAGGCTTCAGAACAACAACAGTAGCAATAACAGCTTTAGGAAAAACAATAAAGTAAATTATACAGCATGTGCCTTTAGATGAAATCATGTCTATCATTTTTGGTTGTAAATATTGTATAGACATTTTTTGGCTTCACCCAAATTACAGTCATATGAAAAAGTTTGGGCATCCCTATTAATTTTACTTTTTTATTTCTTAATATTTGGGTTTTTGCAACAGCTATTTCAGTTTGATATATATAATAACTGATAGACACAGTAATATTTCATATTGGGTACCCTAATCATTTTATTGATTTTAATAACCTTTACTACTTTTCACTGACTTATAGAATTTTGTTCTTTCATCTGCGGAATATTGCAAAAAAATTGAAATATCCTTTCCGGGGGGATGCTAAGAAATTAGTCCATGCATTTGTTACTTCAAGGCTGGACTATTGAATTCTTTACTATCAGGAAGTCCACAAACTGTAGTTAAAAACCTTCAGCTGATCCAAGAAGCTGCAGCCAGAGTTCTGATGAAAATTAAAAAAAGAGATCATATCTCTCCTATCCTAGCTTCTACACTGGCTTCCTGTTAGATCAAGAATATAATTTAAAATCCTCCTTATCACATATAAAGCCTTAAATGGCCAAACTCCATCTTATATCAGAGATATGATGTGTCCCTTATGTCCCTGACAGAGAACTTTGCTCTCAGTCTGCATGTGTACTAGTGGTTCCTAGAACTTCTAAAAGTAGAATGGGAGGCAGATCTTTTAGTTAGCAGGCTCCTCTCCTGTGGAACCAACTACCAGTTTTAGTCCGTGAGGCAGACACCCTGTCTACTTTTAAGGGTAGGCTTAAAACTTTCTTTTTTGTTAAAGTTTATAGATAGAGTGGCTCAGGTTATCCTGAGCTATCTCTATAGATATGCTGCTATAGGCTTATACTTCTGGAGGACATAGGGACCTCTACTCATCTTTTTTCTTCATTCCTTCTCTATTCTCCCACTCTGCAGAATCTGTTAGTTGAATCTCTAACGTTGTGCTCTCCATGCTTTTCCTGATAGTAGCTCTACCTCGTCTGTTCCTGTTTGGCTGTGACACCATCCTGGATAGAAATATGAGCTGTGCTGCTTCCATCAAAACCTTTGTTTATAGATGTTTGTGCTCTGCCTGTTTTTCCAGTGAATTCCTGTTTCTTTGACTATGACTGGCTGGAAGTGCTCTGTTCATCCTCTGACATTTGAGTTGACTCAGAGCTTGTTTGCCTGGCTTTGTGTTTCCTGGACGGGGCCGCCCTTTACAGTTGCTTTTTGTATCTCTGCTTCTGTCTCCTTGAACCCCAGATGGCCGCTCACACTGAGCCTTGTTCTGCTGGAGCTTTCTTCCTGTTAAAAGGGAGTTTTTCCTCTCCACTGTCTTTATAAGCATGCTTTTGCAAGGGATTGCGTTAGAGTCAATGCAATCAACAGATTTTCCTTAGAAAACTTTTAATCAATTTGACTGTATGATCTGGTGAACTATAAAATGCCTTGAGAAGACGTGCTGTGAATTGGCGCTATATAAATAAACTGAATTGACATTTTCAAGAAATGTTTGTTAACTGAATAGTTCTAATTACCTTAACCAACACTGAGGCCAAGCAACTAAACCAGAAAGCTCTCAGGGCTGAGAATGAATATTTTCAAACCAGACCAGGCAATGGGAAAACAGTCATCAGAGGGCTTAACATCAGTTGAGCGCTAGTAAATAGTTGGCAGAATAATGATGTTAAATAACTCTCCTTTTCCCTCCATCATGTACAAATATTATCAACCTGCAGCAGAGTCGTCTCTACAGCAACAACAGTTTCATTTGAGGTATTTGCTTATGTTTATCTTTCTTAATATTGTGTTAACACTGTTAGGGTTGTTAAGTTTCCCCAACTTTAACCTATAAAGAATGAAACAAAGACAGTGTAAGATTTGTCCTGACCGTGCTTTGCAAAAGGAAGATATACAGAGCTTTAGGATTACTCTGTGCATCTTCGTCTTGCTTTACGCTTGCAGGCTTATTTATTGAATAGTCAACACATTGCAACAGCAGCCGTTAGTTTCGATTACGCAATCTCTTAGACATAGCAAGAACTTTTAAGATAGGGAACATGTCTGGTTTCAGTAAACGCTTTTAAAAAAGGTGTTGGGGGTCATGAACTTTTACCTTCTGTGTTTCTTAAATGAAAAACAGGAAAGCATTCTTGCAAAACATTTGACCGTCTTATGACCTGCATACACTATTTCCACAGATGACAGTATCATAGAAAAAAAAATGATTAAAAGCAATATAAAAGATATAAATGAATAAAATGATAAAAACAACAGAAATCATAAAACAACAGAAATCATAATAACATAACTTATTAGTCACTTATTTTGCACTGTCATTATAGAATCATACACTTTCTCTCTAAATCACAGAATTTTTACAAATGAGGGTTTCAATTTCTCAAGGGCTTTTTTTCTCTTATTACTAATGGTAGTCCCTTTTTTTCCCTTATTAGGAATGGAACTAAGGATGAAGAACTTATCCTTTTTGGTATTTTACTAAAGGGAATTTACATTAGATTACTTTTGCATTACATTTTATGGAGCCTAGGCGGAAGTTCAACTGAAGAAACTCATTGCTCTCCTTCATCCACCTGCGACATTTCCAATCACCTTTGAACCACACCTCCACGAAAGCCAATTGGCATTCAAAGTTCATCTTAAAAGGCCTCCGATCCACCACTTGTCTGCTCCTGTGCGCAGGCGGTGGTTGCGTTGTGTGACTTTATTCAGATGACCGCGTTTCAACTCACCTCCAGCCCCTCGTCCACCATCGTAGCTAAAGCTTCAACAGACATTCCTCCCAGACTCTTACTGCATTCCCTCACTGCGTCTCAATTCGCAGGCTGCGTACTTGGTAGGACGCATTTTGAGGCCGGTGACGTCACAACGCTGCGCGGAGGCCGTCCCATTTGGCAAAAATTCTGAGGACGCTTAAAATGCAGCCTCAAAATGCGTCCTCCTTTTCCCCGAATTCTGAGGATGCATCGCTACCATCCTTAGTGGCCTCGCCTCCCACTAGATTTCCCGAGGTGCTTTGCGCGCTTCTTTTTTTTTTTTTTAAGTAGTTGAAGAAGAAGAAGAAGAAGAAAGTCGTATTTTCTTCAAGTTACGGACAACCGAAAGCAGCAGCAGCAGCACCGACAGTAGTGCGGAGAACACCTTTAAATGTAAGTAGTTTGTTTTTTTTTTGTTTTTTTTTTATGAACATCTATTAAAATACATGACGGTAACGGAGCCACCGGGATGTGTAGGACCAGCTAAAGCTTAAAGCTAACCTGTTGATACGTGATGTTCATCAACAATTAAAAGCCTTCATACAAATGTCACTATTTTTTATTTTAACCTACATCTTACTGTACTGATAGCCGTATCCCTCACTAATCAGATCTATTTATTCTCATACAGTTTATAACAAAGTATTAGAGCTGTTAAAGCTTAATGCAGCTGAAGAAATAACATTAGTCCAGCTGTACTGGGCTGTTAATACTGCAAACGTTTTGTTTTAATACTGAATAACGTATAGTTTATTTACAGTACAGTATAATAAGGTTTAAAGTATAATTCACTTGAAGAACAATACCAGTGTAATTATACAGAACAGTTATTTTGCCTGTTGACTTAACAGAAATATGCTTTACATGTCATTTTGTTCCAGGGAGCAGACAGAGGAGTGGATAAAATGACCACCTTATCATCGGGGCCAAAAATACTGCTGCAGGCGGATGGAGCGAAGGGTTGAGGCAGAATTCCATCTACATGTTGCATTTCTATGTAAAAGTCACACAAGTTAAAAGAAGTCCTGTTCAAACACCAACGTACAAATATAATCTTTTGATCACAACAAATGATGCCCAGATGCCACTCTTTGTAAATCTCATATTTGTGATAGAAGTGATCCTTGTGTGGGAAAACTTAAAAAAAATACAAAGTATGTTCAGATTTGGATAATGTAATGAAACACACACACACCTATATATATATATATATATATATATATATAGGTGTGTGTGTGTAGGGAAATTACATCTTTCATTTATTATATTCATGTTAATTTCCACTTTGAGTAAGCTTAAAAAAGTAATCTCCAGGTTACCATTCCAAAGTCTTTTTCTGTAGAATTTCATCAATCCATCCAAATCATGAAACATTCCTTTTTTCTAGCTTTAAAGAAACACTATAGAAAATAGCATCTGTTGATACAAATTGTTTTCCTCTACTATAGGAATGCAAAGATCCAGGGACAGAGCAAGGGGTCAGTGGGAATCCTACTGCTGCCACCTGGCCCTGGTTTGTCCTCATGGAGGAGGTATTAGGACAGAGGCCCTCTGTTGCCCCACCTGTCCTAATTGCCTCCATCCCTGAGGACACAGCAGGGCTAGATGCTGCAGAGGCTGAGCAGCATCAGGGTGAAGATGAGGAAGAGAATGAGGATGAGAGAGGAGGGAAAGGAGGAAGAGAAGAAGGAGTGACGAGTTGGTGGATTTAATCAGGGAGGATATCAGATGGCAGAGGGAGGCGGGATAGGATGGACAGATTATTTCATTTATTGGAGAGGATGGTGGACAGATGTTATTATTTTTTTGGTGTTTTTTTTAACAAGTTGAAGTTCTGTGTTGCTGTTATGTTTAAATTAAATTATTAAATTGTTTATAAAAGTTATTGCTGTCGGTGTGTTCTTAAAGTCTTTTAACCTTTTTACATTATCTGTTTCATCACTTCTTTGTAATTTAAGTAAACTTAGAACAACTTCTCAGTGACATCAGTTTATTTTTAGAGAAGCAAGTATTTAACAATAAACTATTAAAAACATTTTTACCTATTGACATTAGATTTTAAAATTAACTACTACAACTATTTACAGAAGATATACAGTAAATATTACTAGAGAACATATATATACAATTGTGACTGAGCAGGAGTCCCTGGTGGGGCTGCTGGACTGGATGGGATGCCACACAGATGAGCTTGGAGTCTTCTGACTGCGACTGGGACATCATCTGGGGGGTGGGGGTTGCCTCTCTCCACTGCTGATCCAATCGATGGCTGCCATGTTACTAAAAATGTTCAAGAAGACGCAGAAAATAATGACTTTACTAAAACTGTTTTTATAACCCTGAAATGAGAACAGCTAAAATGTGATTCTACTTGCCATCTAAATGTAACGGTGGTCAGGTAGACCCTCCTCCAGAGCAGACACCTCAGCAGACAGCTGGTCCCTCCAGTGAGCACCACTGACTGCGTCCTACACGTTCTCCCCCTCCTCATCCTCTGGCATGTCGTCCTGCTCTTCATCCTCTGGGGCTGTTATGACCTGTAGAAAAAAAAAGACAAAAATATTTATTTTTATTCAGTCATCTATCTTTTTTTCCTTATCTTTATTACATGATTTATTAGAAATTAAATTTTACTTCATCTAGATCGACTAACTTATTTTTTTCGTTTTTATATTTTGATTTTTTTTCCTGTATTATGTTTATATATATATATATATATATATATATATATATATATATATATATATATATATATATATATATATATATATATATATATATATATATAAAATTGCAAATAAAATCAGGCAGTAAGGGGATAACAATTTAGACAAAAAGGATTTATTTCTCAACAGTTTGGCTTCTCAACACAACATTAGTAATGGTGAAAGTAGTGATTTAAGTCAGTTATTTACAGGGTTTGTACACATTTAACTATTCAATTCAAATTACTAAAGTTACAAACAAATAAATCACAAACTTACAAATAAATATAGAACTTGATATTGAAACCTATTCATCAATCTGCTGACAAGCGTTTATTTAATAGCAGGTATATTCTGATCATTAGCAGGCCCTGTGGGTTAGAATAATAGCAGGTAGATCTTACCTCTCCACTGCGCTTTGCCAGCCTGAGAAAAATCCGTCGCAGGTTTTGCTGCCGCCGAAGCCGTCAAAGCGACTCTCCTCCTCCAATAACAAGTAAATAAAAAAATAAAAAATTTCCATATCTATTTTTTTGTTGTTTCTTTCCGTATTTCTCGAGCTGTCGGATTTTGTTTCGCGCTGTGTTTGGGGTAAACGTGATGACGTCGTGTCGCAACCAGGAAGTGCTCCAAAGGCTAGACCGTCCCATTTACCAACGGCTGAGGATCCTCCGGAGCAGCCTACCAAGTCTGGGTCCTCCGGAGGCTAGGTAGGCTGCGTCCTCGGAAGTACGCAGCCTGCGAATTGAGACGCAGCCCCTGTCTCATCTCAACCAGTCCGGCAGAAGACCACCATGTTGAGCCTGGTTCTGCCAGAGGTTTCTTCCCAACGTGGAGTTTTCCATCTAAACAGCCCTATTCTTTGTTCCTGTTCATGCATATCTATCAAAATTAAGCGCTATGTTTCCTGCCGAGGAATGAGCGCCAAAGACAAAGTGCGTAATTGTATCAATAAATTTCTTCTAATTGTCTTTTCTCTTTGGTGAGTTTTTCAGATTGAAACAACATTACTTAATAAAAGACTTAAAATGTGGGCATTCATTTTCTTACCTTCCAAAATAATGTGCTTTTGTCATCACCAAAAACAAAGGTGTCAAATTGAAATTGTCTTTACTGTCATATCAATGCTTGACATTAAACGCTTTTGAAAGTAAGAGAGCTGCCTGATCAGTGATTTTCACTGGGTTAATGAGGTGTGACCATACTTATTAACAGCATTATGAAATATATTGAAACTCACAACACAGGAAAAAAAAATAATATATTGCAAAAAAAAAAAAGAAATTCAATCATATGGAGCAGTGAAAGTGATTAGAAATTGAGCACATGATATGCAAAATGAAAAATCTATTAGGGAAAGGGGGAGTGAACTGAACACTACTACAAAAGGATAGTTTAAAATTTTGCTTCTAATGCATATATATTTATATGGAAGATGAAGTGCATATATCTACAGTAAATTATTGAGGACGAAAGCTTGTTAGCAAGTTGTTTTTGCCCTTAGGGGGTTGCTATTGAAGAGTCAATGATCCAGCTTGACAAACCTTTTCTTGATTCTTTTAGTCTTGTTCCAATATTGGACTGCTTCCCCAACACAGAAACACATTTTCTGTATGATTCCTCATATAGGATGAGAGGGGACTGCAGTTGTGCAGTGATTGGACACAGGTGTTCTATTATTCAAAGTATCTCCTTGGGCTTTAGAGCGCTCACAGCAAACAAGATAAGACTTCTAGTGCATGCCTACCCTCCTTTTTTCCTGCAACACCCCTCCTAACAGCAAAAATATTACCCAACCTTCCCTGGGGAGAAGCTTAGGGGAAACGTGAGCTGGAAGAAAGGGGCAAATCCACCACAACAACAGCTGTTTCCAAATCACAACAACCTGGGGAAGGGTTGCGGGTTATATTTTATGAGTGGAGAGGGACCACGGATGTTCATTTATTTATCTCCACAGTCAGCTTTGAGAGGTGTAAGTGCATGTGTGCTTGTGACAAGACACCTCACATTGCTCACTTTCTACTTTTACAGGAAGCACACCTATGGTGAACAGCCAAACTAAGAGCTGCAGCCTTTACTGTGTTCGTATGTTGAATATGTAATGCTAATCAATTTGATGTGTCGAAATAGTATAATTAATGTATGGCACATGGAAACTGTTATTAAACTGGTTTGGTGCCATTTACTTTGCTCTTCACTCACTTTCATAGATGCCGTGTAATCCATGGGTACAATTATGTTGAAAGTAATCTCATATTTCAAGCATGCAAATATCGACTCAGTGCCACTGCAAACAGTTTATGTACAGGAAAATATTCAGGCTGCAACACAGAAATCCTTTTAAAGTGCAACACCAGCTCAGTATTTTAAACTCTAATTAGCTCTCATGTGCATTTAAACAGATTCATGGTTTGGTTCAATCGAAATTAGTCAAATCGTTCTCACTGGTACTAACATTGAAGGCACATGTATTTAGAGGGGTGTAAATGGCGGGGCATGTACTAAAACAGAATACAAACACAGTCATTAGCAGGTGGAACAGGCTAATCAATGATTATGACCTTGGATGTATTGGTGTCCACCTTTTCTTTTGTTACAAGCTGTTATTAATTTTGTGTACTTCCCAATTCTTATGCAGAACAATATCTCATCTGCAAGTATTTTTTAGTGTTGGTTAAACAAGAAACTTTGTTCTCTGATAACCAGGTATGCTTATGAGAGGTATGCTGAATGAAGTGTCTACAAAGTAACAGAGGTCACTGCGATTAGCATAAAATAACCTGGTTAAGCTTGTTGCATAAAAAGCATAAATTCGTGTTTTGTTTTGTCTTTAACCAAAGAATTGAATATGTGGCTACATAATTTGTATACAAATGTAATAATTTTATTATAAATTGTTCCACCAGTAACATTCAATTCAGTTTATTTATATAGCGCCAATTCACAACACATGTCATCTCAAGGCATTTTACAGTTCACCAGGTCATACAGTCAAATTGATTTAAAGTTTTCTATCTAAGGAAAACCAGTTGATTGCATCGACTCATTGACTATAATGCAATCTTTCACACTAAGCATACTTGAAGCGACAGTGGAGAGGAAAAACTCCCTTTTTACAGGAAGAAACCTCCAGCAGAACAAGGCTCAGTGTGAGCGGCCATCTGCCAAGGCCGACTGAGGTTCAAGGAGAGCAGAGATACAAAAGCAACTGTATGGGGAGGCCCTGTCCAGGAAACACAGAGCCAGGCAGATGAGTTCTGAACCAACTCCGATGTCAGAGGATGAAGAGAGCACATTCAGTCGGTCACAGTCAGAGAAACAGTACTACACTGGTGTTGTGAGTTTATGTTCTCTTCTATTCCCAGCCAGCTGGAAATTTCTGTTTCTGATACTTTAAGATGTTTAAAGTATCAGTATCAGGGGGATAGAATATCTTATTTAATCAGATATTATTTCAGCTGTTATATATTGTTTATGACACACCCTCATGCTAACTGTGTGTTACAACAATAGATGAAAGAGTGATTCGAGCACGAATCATGGTCAAACAGTTCATTCTGCACATACATGGAATAAATTCACCACAACTTCTGTTCAAAATATAAGAGTTTATTAACAAAAATCATTCAGCTCCAAGTCAAACATATTTCAGTTTAACACTCCCAACTTCCATGTGACTTGCCTGTGACTGCTTTGGCTGAAAAAGGGGGGTGCTGCGGA